GCATTTTTGGTGAATACACATACCCTCGAAATCCTACGCATTTTCGAGAAAAAAAATAGTCTAGGTGCCTACATTTTTCGGCGAATATAAAAATTTTCAAATAGTTTCAAAAAAATTATATTTAGTTACAGGGGTAAATTGCAAGCAATTTTGGTGAATATACATACCCTCGAAATCCTATCCATTTTCGAGAAAAAAAATAGTCTAGGTGCCTACATTTTTCGGCGAAATTAAAAATTTTCAAATCGTTTCAAAAAAATTATTTTTAGTTCCGAGGGTCAATTACAACCATTTTTGGTGAATACACATACCCCTGAAATCCTATCCACTTTTGAGAAAAAAATTCGAGTAGGCGCCTGTCCAGGGGTCGTCGAATACCCTGTATATGGTTATTACCAAAGAATTTCCAATTTCGATCGAGAAAAGACGTCGATGATATTTTCTATTTGTATGCCACGCGAAGGATTCAGAGATGTAAATGCATCCAATGCATTACAAATAGGGATATCTAATAAATTCTACTGGAATTGCTATCGGCCAACCCGTTCAGATTGCATTTGCATCGATAGGCGCCAATCAATTCGTCCAGAACATCTACACTTCCTCTTCTATTACAGTATTTGATGATCTCGTATGATACGTGATCAATAGAGCCACGAATCATCCATTTTTATGGCCAGAAACAAATTTCGAACACTGTATTGTCTTCTGTTGCGTACCAAGTAAAATTAAATAGAGAAATTTCTCAAAATTCAACGTTCTATATTTCTCAAACAAATTCGAAGCTAACAAAATGAATGGCTTAAACTTATTCTGGTTTTAGTCGAGTTACATTATACAGGGTGTTTGGTCAACCCTGGGAAAAATTTTAATGAGGGATTCTAGAGGCCAAAATAAGACAAAAATAAAGAATACCAATTTGTTGATGGAGGCTTCGTTAAAAAGTTATTAACAATTAAATTTAACAATTTCAAATCGTTCTGGAAAAATTATTTTTAGTTGTAGGGGTCAATTACAATCATTTTTGGTGAATAGACATACCCCCGAATTCCTACGCATTTTCGAGAAAAAAATTCAGTAGATGAGCAGATTTTATCGACAATATTAAAAAATTTCAAATCGTTTTGGAAAAATTATTTTTAGTTGCAGGGGTCAATTACAATCATTTTTGTTGAATAGACATACCCCCGAATTCCGACGCGTTTTCGAGAAAAAAATTAATCACTGAAAATTACATGTCTGACCATACCGTTGATATGTTTCCCTGAAATTTCATGAAAATGTTTAAAACACCATAACTTCCGAACGGATCGGCGGATTTTAATTTTTAAAAAAGCAAACTACGCGTATTTTGACGGAGAATATGTAGCAATACCAAGAATATTGGAAAAGTTGTTTCTGAACCCCGTAGAATTACCCCATAAAAATGGTCCAATTCTTATTACTCTCATAACTCCTACAATAGTGAATATATTTCAATGAAATTTTGGGTGGAAGTAGAGTTCATGGATACCTACAAAAAAGTATTAGACAACTTTTCTATAGGGCGTCAAACAAAATGATTAAAAATCAAGAACGAATTTCAGGGGGTAGGTGCCTAAATTCAACGAAAACAAAAAATTTCAAATCGTTTCAAAAAAATTATTTTTAGGTCCGAGGGTTAATTACAACCATTTTTGGTGAATAGACATACCCTCGAAATCCTACACATTTTCGAGAAAAAAATTCGTCTAGGTGCCTACATTTTTCGACGAAATTAAAAATTTTCAAATTGTTTCAAAAAAATTATTTTTAGGTCCGAGGGTCAATTAAGACCATTTTTGGTGAATAGACATACCGTCGAAATCCTACGCATTTTCGAGAAAAAAAATCGTCTAGGTGTCTAAATTTTTCGGCGAAATTAAAAATTTTCAAACCGTTTCAAAAAAATTATTTTTAGTTCCGAGGTTCAATTGCAACCATTTTTGGTGAATAGACATACTCTCGAAATCTTGCGCATTTCTGAGAAAAAAATTCAGTACTGTTGAAACTTTGAACGTTAATAACTTTTTAACGAAGCCTCCATCAACAAATTGGTATTCTTGATTTTCGTCTTATTTTGGCCTCTAGAATCCTCCATTGAAATTTTTCCCAGGGTCGATCACCCTGTATTTCAGTTTCAACGATATCTCCGGCATCGACCGCAAAAAGCGACCGATTTGATGTGGAATGACCTGTGGAGAATTTCTCTTTCAGGAGTTGGCGGGGCTTAGTGTGTGCTAGAGCCGACTATAGTGCCGGCGGATGATAGCGACAGAGAATTAGAGCGAACGAAAGATCAAACTTCTCGCCGTCGGATGATGAGTCATAACTCAGAAGGGCAGGATTCGAACGGGATAATCGCCTTTTCGATGAAATGGGATTTTAAATGTGGGGCACAATATATCGAAACGGATCTTGGAATATTAGCCATTCGTGATCAGCTATTTTTATAACAAAATAGCCTGAAACATTGAAATATAAAAAATTTCAAATTAACTTTGTTTTAAGGTTATCTTTATTTTTGTAAATAGCATGGTATACTATTCTATTCCTAGTAAAATTAAAATAGCATGCCTTTAGACAATTTCAATGACACGTAATAGAATGCAAAGTGACTTGCAATATAAGAGATGTTTCTCACAAAACGTTAAAAGCTATAGTGCACCAGCAGAAACCAATAACTGCGCGAGATATGAACGAAAGACTGATTAGAACATGCGCGACAATCAATCCGGAAATGATAGCACGCGTACGGACTTCAATGATCCAACGATCGCAATGTTGCATCGATGCGAATGGCCGTCGCTTCGAATATCTTTTATAATGTCAATTTGCATTCTGTTATCTGTTACCGAATGACCCTATTGGGGGGTCATTGAAATTGTCTACATAAATACTATTTTACTAGGAATGGAACAGTATACCAAGCTATTTTAATAAATCTAGATGACCTTGAAATTTCTGTAACCTCCTCCACTTACATAAAAATTATTACACGTACATTACGAACCTCTCCATTACTATAGCCATGCTATAAATCTGATAATTTGAAGATATTTTAATTTTTATATTACCAAATAGTACTTTAAAATTAAGCTCAAATGCATTTTGAATAATTACAATTACTACCTCTTTGATCAATTAAAATGATGAACGATTTGATTTCATAGATTGAACTCTGTACTTACGATTCTTTATTATTAAATATAATTGTTGCTTAAGGTGCAGCCATTGTAGGCCAAGGTTAGGTTAATAACAACATTGTACCTCGTCTTTGTACCTAATGAATATCTATATTTAAAATTTATTCCAATGTACTTTTATTTCGATTTTGTATTTAAAAATGCTAACATAAAATATTTCTCGTTTTAAAAGCAAAATAACCACCAACGAACGAACGTGTTTTTTAACACGTTTGGCTGCCGTTTCTTTGTAATTCCCAGCGATACTTTCCCGAGATTAAAATGATGTCAACTGTTCCGTTCAGAATGTAATCTGCCATTTTTGAATAATCTCGCAAGTGAACTTCGAAACTGTCACGTTTGATACGCGTCGCGAGATAAGAAATTCTTAAGCAATTCATCGATCGAAAGCATCCTACGCAACATAGTTTGTTTACAAACATCCATACAAGCGTAGTTGCAGAACTACAAATTAAAGTTAAACGTTAGGATCAAAATTAAAATAATCAATAAACTTTTTCTAGCTAGCAAAACGATGCATCGATTATAGTATTAAAATGAAGGCGATTTTTATAGCTTCTTTAGTTGGGTAAATTTATTAATAGCAACATTTGAACGTCACTGTTATTTAAATCATAACAATGTGTGTTTTATTAAATTATAAGCATTACAGATTATTTGTAAAAAACATAATATTAACGAGTAATATTTACTGCAGCTATTTAAAATTTAATTCATTGAGCAGAACTGACTTTAAATTATAAACAAAATAAACAGGTGAATATAATTTATGGGAGGGATAACATCCCTTGTATTACTGCTTTTATGAAGATAACAATTAATTACAGAAATGAAATATTTTCCTTGTAATTTTGTAACCACATTTGATGGAATGATATTTTAGGTTATGTAAGACACAAAGAACGGTCAAAAGTATCACAGTTTCTATGGAAGCACGCTTTTAACATGGAAACGGTGCTCATTATGTTCCATTTCTGATCTTGAATGATCTTGAACATTATTGTGTCATACACATTAGGCTTAATAATAGCGCAGTTGAGCTTTGCATTTTACACTACTCTATATATGCATTTTCTTTTATTAAATATGTTGTTGGTATCATTATTATATGCCTTTGAATTTATCTTTTTTTTTTCTAAGAAAATAACACCAAAAAGATGTAAAAGATATGAAATTGACCTCGAAATAACCTTCAAAAGATAAAAATAGAAACATTTTTGTACCATCGGATTCTAAGCAAATTATTTGAGAAGTTTCTCTACTTTTATGCCACGAAATCAATAGTTCAAGTGTTTTTTTAACAAATGAAATTTCACCTATTTTTGTGTACTAGATACGTAACGAAATTTTCATGCTGTCAGTCGACCACCAAGACAGGGTTCTGGTTTTCTTGTGAATCGTATTTTTTAAATCATAACCTCTTAAAATTATGTGCAAGTCAAAGAATACAACTTCAAAATTTTAAAGCCATTTTTTTTATTATTTTAAGTAATTCTAGTTTTAATGACAGCCATATTCATAAAGATTATTAATCTTTTCTCAGTTTTACCTTTTTTCTTTGAAGACTCTTATACACTGCATTTTATAATTAACGATGTCAATTTCGAGTTTCATACGAGAATTTGGTTCCAAAGAATGACTTATTTTATCAGTCGACGAACCAGAGCTCTGCCTTAACGTTTACGCTTGAATAAATGTCGATTATGTAAATTAAGTAGCGAGGAGGAATAAAAAATAAAGTAAACTTCGAATGAATTTTTACGGGACTTGTTTCAGTACACAATGCGCTAGGGGTGATGGAGACAGTGGGCAAGCAAGTCCAGGTAGTGAGCGGACTGGGGGTGGGGGGTCCGGTGGGCCCTGTGGGTCCAGTGGGGGGAGATTTGCATCACCATCATCATCCTCACCCCCACTCTCATCCTCCACACCCACACGTCCACCCCCACGGTCATCCTCATGGGTCCCATGGCCACTCACTCGTCGGCGTAACGTCGACCCCTGGTAGGGGTCAGGCACAACCACCGGTCTCGCATAACCAACATTTACCCGCGAGATCTACTCCAGTACAGCTGCACAGGTAAGCTTGTACGTGTGTTCGCTATCGCGATCGCGTTGCATGAGTGTGTATACATAGGATGTTGTAATTAAAGCGGCCACGCATTCCCCCCCCTTCACGCCGTTGAGCGCGGAAGACGAGTCACCGCGTCCTTTAAATTCGCCTCCATAATGCGTTCGGTGGGTAACTCGAGTCAGCCGTCTAATTTAGTAAATACGTTCTTTTAAAAGAATCTTAACACACAACTGGTCGAGTATTTCGAGCGAAAACGTTCACCTGCTGCCGGCTACTTTCCCAAAGTAGGGCGCGTCACGCTTCTCTTCGCACATTCTATGGCAGGAGTTTTTCAAAGTAGGGGGCGCGACCTCCGTGGCGGAGGGCGCCTTGCGATCGAATGGGGGCGCAAATGAAAAGTTTCAACGCGGAGAAATGTACACAGAGCTGAGAAAATGTGATCCAATTAGCGACTAATAATTACAGCTACGAAATAGAAGGGAATATGAAGATTTAATATGATTAAATATTACCCGATTAACTGGCTTACGATTTTTACAATTCTTTAATTGTCCCTCTCAGTTTACATTTAGGAACTCCATTTATTTTAAACTGAATTCAGCTACAAAGGATTTGAAGTATCAAATCGACAAAATGACGTTTGTAATGATGTCTGTATTGTAGAAACGAAGTTTTTTTATTAGTTTTCCCGTTAAAAAAATTTAGACTAAATTCAGTTAAAAGAAAAAAGAAATCTCTAGTGGACCGATCGCTTATAGTAGGGGTGACCAACTTCTCCACCGAGAGCAAGAACCCCGCTATAAGACAGCTGATTCTCCCACCATCAGACTGCCCATCAGATTCCCCAGTTTAGTTGCCCAGCGAGTCTCTGTCCCAGCTTTGCACACTGGGTATATAGAGGGGGTAGCTCGAGCGAAATAGGAAAGTAGTGAAAAGAGCCATAACTGGCTTGCAAGCCGCCAATTCACCACCCTTGACTTACAAGAAGGGGTGACGAACTTTTGCATCGAGAGCAACAAGAGTCCAACTGCCACAGTTGGCCAAATTTCATTAACAAATAACAAATAAGAGTTTTAGATTCATTCGTAAATTAATTTCCTCTTTTATTCGTTATTTGCGAATGAAATTTGCCTAATTGTGCCCAGAACCAGTCCACCATCGGGTTCCTCGCTACGATAGTTGATATCCAGCGATCCTTCGTCCCAACTCTGCAGAGTAGGCATGGTGGGGGTCAGTTCTTCTACGCTTGCGCGGAACAGAAAAGTAGGGGAGGGAGCACAACTGGCTCGCAAGCCGTCATTGTGTCACCCCTAACTTATAGACCTTCGCAGAAAACAGTAATGCTTATTTATGTTAGATAGGGTAAAGGACCTATTCGAAATTTTTTAATTTGAAGGAAACCCCCTCCTCAAGAGTTATGATGAAAAATATATATTTATACCGTTTTACATTGTATTCTATAAATATTTTTAAAAAGAATGTGACACACAGTATGTAAATGAGTTTTATACGTAGTATCAAATCTACAGTATGCTTTATGCTTATGAAAAATATTCATATAAACACCTGTGACATTACAAGAAATGAGTAACAAGTGTTCAAACGTGTGATACAATCAATAGTCTATCAATGCGTATGTGGCTATCAAAGGATTCCACTTATAATATTTGCTGCGAGCCAGTGTTTCTCAAACTGCCGTTTGCGATTATGGCGATGGAGGTTTGCAAGGTCTTGGAAGAAAAACAACTGCTTCATCTTTATTAAAAACACGCGTTAAAATAAATAAAACATTTGCTGTTGTTGGGAATACAAATTTCACTAAAATTCTTATAAATATTTGAAGTAAATCTATTTTACCAAAAATTTGTTCATTATTTACAAATTCATTATTAACAATTACTAATAAATACTGTTTTTTACTAACGGTAAACAAGTTTCGTTCCAATTGTTCCAAAAATAAACATGACTTCCTTTATTTGTGTCATGGATTTATGATTGCTATAGTATTTTTATAGTCTAGTGTTCTTTTAAATAACTTCAAAAGTTAATATAAATGTAGGTGTTTACATTGTAAGTAAGTTCACGGTAAATTCGCGTATTCAAACTTGAAATACGCGGCGGGTGAAAGATTGAAGTTGGATGCGTAATATACGCTCAGTGGGCTGCGCATGCGTTCTTCCGATTTTACCACTACTGCTACCTGTCGATCCTAACCTCAAACGTCAACGTGCAACGTTGATTTTTAACCTCGCAAGGTTTACATTTAGAATTTATAGTTCATTGTGATATATACATAAGTAGCCGTGTAGTGCACTTGAATGAAAATATTAAAGTGAAAAGGTGAATTTTAGAAACGCGATGTACCAGATGCGTGAATGGAAAATGTATATGGAAAGGAAAGATTCCTTTGAAACTCGAGATTGTACGTTTGCACGATGAAGTAAGTCCACGCAGTTATTTCTGTTGCGACGTTTGTTATTCTTCGTATATGCAATATTAATTTACTAGTCCTTGTGTCTAAAAACTTCAATCTTCTATCAGAACAGAACATTCGTAGTACTGGATTATTTACATTTAGGCACAAAAGATCGTTTGAATAAGTATTTATTCATTGGTATTAATCATTAGCTTTGTTCGCATCAAGAAAACAGCCATAGTATACCTGAAACAGATACGCTATCGCAAATTTCTAAGTCCCTTACTTATTTGATATAAATCGAATTTGTACTGCTTTCAAACAAAAATCTGGTAACGAATTGTAATTCACGTTTCTAGAATTAAACTCATAATGGCTGTTATCGTAGGTGTAAAGTGTAAATTAAACGATTTGCGAAACGCGGGAAAATAAGTTAGGTTAGGTTCGTCATGAGGTGTGTACAAATAGAGGAAGCAACCAGGCAATCGTAGCAAAGTAACATTATGTGTACATATGTGTGTATATATGTACATATATGTATACATATACGCACTATAGGATATGATATCTGATCGTGAGATTAAGGAACTCAATATAAAGGGTGGGAATGAAATAAAATGAAGAATAAGATTTTCCATTATTCTTTTTTAAAGCAATGCTTGATTTAGATGTTCTAGTACAAGAATTTATCGAATATATTCCGAATTATAATTTCGAAATTAACAAAATTTTATTTGTTTAATCTAAAAATTACAAGTAGAAAATTGTACCCATTACATTGACAAGTATCGAATTATCAATTTGTGTTTAAATTTACGAAAACCGAGAATAAATATAAGGACTTGTTGAACGAGGAAAGAGAAAGCTAACAGTAGGTCGCACGACAGGGAATGAAAGATGGCTGTGATGGCGGAAATACACAACACTTTACCTCCGAATAAGTTAAAATAATAATATAGTTACATACATTTCATAGAATGTATAATTACATTTTATTGTTAGTGTTTTCTAGCTAATCTAATTACAAGTAAAACTTCAATGAAAATCCATCTGTAGTGCAATCAAATTAAATGATATAAAACTAATATCAGGAATGGAATTTCTCAGTAATGTAGCGGACATTAATACGTTTGACGTTATACGGTTACTTTTTTGTACATCGTAGTCCGTTTCCCAGGTGCACACAGGCGTATTAAATTCATCGTCATTAAATTGTGTCCAGACTCGTATGTACATTTACACGTGCGTGTCATGTTATCGTTTTCTTTGTGACCTATGTACGTATATAATGTTCTATCGCATGCGCGTCATTCATAAAAGGGAAAAAGAATAGGTGATACATGGTAGGGAGAAGATTTTAGAAGTGGGAGGAGGGGGTCACTGACCGTTACATCATCGAGAACTCATAATCTAGGGAAATTCATAAGGCGACCAAACAATTGCAATGCTAGATACTCGAGCAGGGCAAAAATAAATACACAAAATTAATCGCGTATTATAAAAATAACCAAAGCAACAAACGTGTAAAAGATGAGATTTACAAACGTATCAACAATATTCTTTATGTTTTACATGTTTTAAATTTTAATTTAAACTATTTTCAATTTATGAACATACGGAATTGCTTTTATAACGAATATTAATAATAGCTTTTATTTCTGTATATGTTCGCTTCATTTAATATATTACAAAATTGTTTTTATATTAAGATTGACTTACACACAGGCTAACATAAAGATTCTATTTAATGTAGGCAACGATTTCGTAACAGACATTTAAGAAATAAAACAAATTCATGTTATATAAATATTTTGCTATTATGTAAAATATTTGAAACATGTAAGACTCGGAGAAATAATTGGAAAAATTATGTGTGGTATTGAACGTTAAAAAATGGACATTATATAATATTTTGTTGTGTATTTTAAATAAATGTCCATTAAGTGCCACGTTAAGCATGAAATTAATTTGCCAGTGAGCTATATAGAAATGTAAAATTGGCCAACGCTAAGTAATTCATCGTCGTGTTCCTCTGGTAAATAATGCCAGAAACTCTCGGCAAACCTCGGTGATCCGACAACGTCGCAACAGCAACGTCGCCTTACGAAAGCAGACAGGCACATTCACCCTTTGTGATGTTCAACGCATGCGCAGTCATTCTACACAGAATAGGTACCGATGCACCGGCACGCGGAACCATGATCTGTACTATACTGCGACACCGCATATCGTTATATCCTACGGCGCATGCGCAACGTATTTTGCCACATGTGACAAACTACCGCCGAAAGGTCGTCCATCTACTGTTCTACCATATGTATAGCCAATGGCGGATTTCACGTGAATCATATTTTTACCGCGTGACGCGATTGGTTGGTTGACCGTCATCCGTCATCTTTTACATATATGCATAAATTTCTTGCGATCTTATCTTTTTACTACAATCTAATTTTGTCTACAGGACTCGTTACTATTTTTGTTTCCGTTTAAGACCGAAATAAATTTGTTTACGATTCTATAACCTCTTGTTTATGTCAGGCTAATGTGCAATAAATGCGTACAGGATGTTCATAATCTGATTTGCTCGAAAGAACGTTTCTTTTCAATTATTAACGTTTCATTGTTTTGCAAGCAAAGGGGTACATAGTATATCGAGTATCATATCAATTGTTTAATGCGATTTTCCGATTTAAAATACAATAAACCTTAATGCTTCTAAATGTTTTGAATAATGTCATTGACATTAGGAATACTTCATTGAACTATTCGTATGTTTCTATTTGTTATAATAAAATATGTATATCTAGATCATCTTCTCTATTTAACCAACGGTGATTTACCTTTTTACAATCGTTTAATGTTTCTATTTATAATTTAATCTAACTTGGTACACAATACATATTATAAATATAAACAATTCGATTGACACGTTGTGTATACCCAGTGTACTTCTAATTCCCGTGTATCTTTCTCATCATCTGTTATGAAACGACAACGAACAATCTGTTAAGCAAATGGAATTGTTTTAAACTCTGTAGTCGACACGCAATGCGTTGTGAGAATAAGATACCTCGTGGCTCGTCTTCGGCGATTAACTTGAAAAATCCCATGACGCTAGAAGTTTATTAAATTTTCTTGTTTATCTAACTGATATTGTTTTTAATGATATTTCAGGTCAGCGCAAAGTTACGTGAACATCAAAAGCAGTAGTCCCGTGTCTCCAAGAACCGTAGGAGCGGGCGTAACGTACGTCCAGGGTGGTGCAGCTGCATCTTCCGCGGCTGCGGCGGCGGCGGCGGCAGCGGCAGCAGGGACTGCTGGAAGTGGATCTGCTGGAGGTCCTTCAATCGGCGGAGGCGGCAGCGGCGGTGGCGGCAGTGGCGGCGGCGGCGGCGTTAGCAACGCTGGTGGCGGGAACAGCGGAACTGGAGTTGTCGGGGCTGGAGCTGGTGCTGGAGCCGTGTCGAACGTAGCACCACCCGGAAGTGGGAACAGCAGCGGCACCAGTAACAGTGCTGGTGCGGGGAGCAACAGTGGCGGGAACAGCGGCACGGTGACTGGTGCACCAGGAGGTTACGTTGCTGTACCCATGGCTGGTGGTCTGCGGTACATCCATCCGTATCCACCGACGCCAACGTCGGCGTCGGTGCCAGCCGTAGCCACGGTGGTCACCTCGGCCTCGTCGGCGCCAACTCCTGTACCAGTTCCAGCACCCGCTGCCGCGCCTGTAAATCCACCCACAGTCAGTCAAACGCCACCACCATCGCTCTCGGGAACTGCTTATGCCGCAAGAGATGCATATCGCAGCGCCACCACGAATGTAGGTATCTTCCTCGAATTCGAGTAAAACCCATGATACATGCTGCGTTGCGATCGAAGACCAGGATCGATACGTGTTTATAGTTAATGTTTACAAACAGTTAACATATACGTTGTAGCAATGTTTTCCGACTGTTTTGTTACACGAAACGTGTGCATTCGTTGCCTCGGTTCTGCCCTTGACTTTCACCCACTATTAACCCTCCTCCTTTTCCCTTCTGATTAACGTTCTAACTTCTTGTGAGAAAATGGCGCAGATTTTAGAAACTGTTTATCTTAAATAAACGAAGTATATTATTTTGCTTCAACAATTATTCACTCTGTCATGAATTTTGTAAGCTTGTTTAAAACTATGAATAATTCAGTCGAGAATAAATATCTTTTTTATTTATACGAGCAAGACGTTTAGTAGAAAACAGAGAAGATGGAAAAACAGATTCAGTCGGAATCCGAGTGCAACAAACGTATGACGTTGTAGATGTATTTGGCATTGTACCGGCGTCTGCTCTTTTGAACGGGGTCATCGATTTTCTTGAAATAGGTTCACGTCGAGAAGGTTAGGCAAGATAAATTGAATAAATCGCCGGAGAAAAAAGAAACCGCAAGACGAACGGAGGGAAGGAGAGAGTGCCGGAGAAAGAATAGATTTTAACAAGAGTGTCATTTTTTTCAGGTGAACGAGAGGATCGCCATCAGCGTGAGCAGTAGTCCTCTGTCGCAGATAGGAGTTGGCGTTGGAGTAGTTACAGCCGAATATGCGATGAATAGCGGTATAGGTAGTGGCATGGTCGGTGGAAGAGGGGATAGACCGAGGATATCTCTTTTACCACCTGCTTCGGTGACGCCGACACCTTCACCAACAGCGCCGGACTATCAGCACGTGTCCAGTGGAAGAAATTCACGAATAGGCCTCTTACCCGTCGTCCAGCCGGATCAGTATTGCAGCCGAACGGCCGTTGAGATGGCCAACCTGCAGGAGGCGGCGCCGCCCTTCAAGAAAATACGGTTGGGTCAACCGACCCAGGTTCAACTGCAGTCCCAATCGCAATCTCGTTGTCAGAGTCTGTCGCCCGCTGACCCCTGCGGGAAACAAGACCACGTGGTGCAGTTGCAGCAACCACTTAGGATAGACACTAGGGTGGGTATACACGTGCATGCGCCTGCGTATGAGTATATGCGCGTAGATACTGCAAATACACTATTCTTAACCATAATTCGATACGTTCAATTTGCCATGGTGTTGTATGAGAAATTTCTGCTAGGAGCAGCCAGCTGCAGGTGCGTACACGCCGCAAACAGAAGCGATTTCGCCTACGCTCCCGGAACCAAATACGCAGGAAGACGCGCAGTTTAGGAGTACCAAGGACGATCTTCTGCAACAGATTGCCAAGGTCGACAGAGAGATCGCAAAGAGAGAGTCTCAAATAAATAAGCTTCGGAAAAAGTTGAAGGAATTGGAGGAAACGGCGAACAAGCCTCTGGAAGCTAGCGGGCTTAAACGACAGGTTGAGGAACAATCTCAGCAACCAAAGCATCAGTCTCTGGCACAAAAAATTTATGCTGATAATAGGGTGAGTTGTAATAATATTTAAGTCTATAATGTTTCGAATAAAAATCTCTGAATCTCTCTGAAACCGAAAATCTCTTTATAATTCTTGTTTGCATTTGGTAATAAAAATGATGGAAGAGATATAGCGAGGATCCTGAAGCGCTCTTATGTAAAATGACTGTGTTTAAATCGTCGAATGTGGCCAAACTGTGGGTCAAAACAGTTCTCGCTCAGACATCCTTGACCCATATATGGCTTAGCACAGCTGTGATTCAGGAACCTTATCGCTTCCCGGGACATATCAGTGACGCCCATTTCTGATTATGGCGACAATGAACGTGATAATGTCTTAATATACAAAAAGTATACAGAACTTGACTCTGGGATCTAGATTCTTGACAAGGACTATTGACATTCGAGATATCTTGGTACACGCCTATTTATAAGATCTCCGGGAACTCGGAAAATTCATAAATAAGCTCTACTCGGGTATTCAAAACGTTGGTACCGTTCTGTGATATGTAATATGACTCAAGTATATACCGGGTAAAATTAAATACGAATCTCACCAAGATAGTTATATAATAATAAGATTCATAATTTTATATAATGTTCAACAACTGTAAATAATTGGGCTCAAATCCAATGCTTATTGAGATATTGATTAACTTATGTTCAGCGTGGAAGATGCTCAAAATATTGCGTACATTGATAAAAATGTGGCGAGAGACAAATCAATTACGATAAACTTACATTGGCATTGAACTCGCGCGTTTATTGTTTACATTCCATACATAAGTTACTCAAGATCTCGGTATATATATTGCCTTATAGATTAAAAAATTCAAAGTGATCTTGAAATATCGATAAAAAAAGAAGCAAAAACTAATCGTATCAGTGTGTGCCTCGCTAGATTTCTTCCATTGTATATAAATATGTATATTGTTATGATACGCAATTACAACATAAAGAGAGGTATATAATTTTAATTGCAGAGGAAAGCAGAAGAAGCTCATAGACTCTTAGAGAGGCTGGGTCCAAAAGTAGAATTACCTTTGTACAATCAGCCGTCGGATACAAGCGTGTACCAAGAAAATCGTACAAAGCATCAGACATGTATGAGAGCAAGGCTTATAGCGAGGCTTCGACGTGAACACGCTGAACGCGCATCTCTTCATCGGCAACAGTCGCAAACGTACGCTATTTTGGTACAGGAGTGGCATCGTAAAGTAGAGAGATTGGAAGCGACGCAAAAACGGAAGTCGAAAGAAGCGAAGAATCGCGAGTTCTTCGAGAAAGTATTTCCAGAATTGCGGAAACAAAGAGAAGACAAGGAACGTTTTAACAGAGTCGGTGCTCGTATCAAGAGTGAAGCTGATCTAGAAGAAATTATGGACGGCCTTCAAGAGCAAGAGGTATTATTATTTTATACCAATAAAGCTGATGCTTTGTAATATTGCAAAAGTAATTATACAACAGATTAAAGAAAAGAGCTAAAGGGGAAGATTATCATAGAAGTTAAGAAAAGCAAAAAAAATGCTATTTTATTATTGTAAACTTTATAACATATTGTACATGTAACAAATAGTGGATGGAAATTGGGCTTCTTATTTCATATATTATATTGTGTACATATTGCATTATTATTAAAATTAGTGTTATTGTCAACACTGATAACTGTTCATGGTACGTAAAAAAAAATAGGTAGTCCAACATCAGGAGCTATTCTGCTCGCAAGTACGAGAAAGAGTCATGAACATGGGTCTAGAAAAGATTTTTTTTTTAAATTATAAACTCTTGTTATTTACGACGGAGTTACGTAAAATCGCTTCGTTGAGAAATTGCTGAAAATTATTTCCTGTGGATACATACGTGTATATACATACATACGCATACAAATATCTTCGTTATGTAGTAGTCCTTGTATCGTTGTCGATCAAATACTCGCTAAAAACATACAATGTTTCAATGGCGGCACGGTCTTTGAGTTTAACTAGCAAGCAAACGAATTTATAAGGTGTCTAACTCTCTTCTATGTAAAATCTTTACAATATACTACTCTAATTTAACCAAAATATGACGGAACGAGTTTTCAAACCCATATTCGTAAGACTGTTTTTCATTTTTACGATGAGTAGAGTATATTTCTTGAGTTCAACCATTACACAATGTCTATGTTCATTCGTTTCAATACGTCTTTTACAAAATTTCACAATGTTTGTAAAGAGTGATAGAATTAAATGAGACTAGTTTCATTACCTTTGCTTTGCAACAGATAGTAATATAGTTATTTGTATTTCTATTCTTCTATTCCAATAATATTGATCCAAACACACTTTACATCATGTTTCAGAGACTTTTTTATGCACCAGAACTCTTCTATAACTTTGTGATTTATTATGTACGCATCTTTTGGGTCAATTTTAATACAAATAATCATCATAATTAATACTTATCTTTTAAGGTTATTTTTAAAATGTATGTGTATAAAACTCTAATATTTCTATTATTGTTCTCAATATTAAAGAATGTATTTACGTTTAACATATATCTTCTGACTTACATTTATTGCAAAGTTAAGCAAAACAAAGGGAACAGTTTATCCTACATTAATATTTCTCTTATACGAATACGAATGTTATTACCAGCAAAGGTTTCAAAAATACATACACACGTAATTTTTGCATGTTTAGTGTATAAAGAGCAAATTGTGTAATTCAACGGTTACAAGTTTTGTTTATTCTGTTGCTTATTCTAATTATTACTAACTCCCTGATCCTATAGATTTATTGATTCTATAAAATAGGCTTCTAACGTTTAGTGATCAAGAACAATTAGACTGTGTTAATAATATACTCTTCCTCTTCTACGATACTTTTGTAAAATTATAATTTTTAGCATAATACTCGAACATTTGGTCCATCCGCAAAAGTTATAATTATTTAATTTTATTATATATACTATACACAGAATCAATGAATAGTGTAGTTCTTCGTATGGGGCATCAAGTATATTCTAATAATTTTTGTTCTTTCATTATTTTTTACAGTTGGAAGATAAGAAGATGCGTTCGTATGCGGTAATACCTCCTTTGTTGTTGGATACAAAACAGAGACGAATTGCGTTTCAAAATCGAAACGGTTTGCTCCAACCGGAAGAATTCGACGCTCTTCACAGCGAACGGAAGTTAATCAATGTGTGGAGCACTGTGGAGCACGAATTGTTCAAAGAGAAATATTTACAGCATCCTAAGAACTTTGGAACGATAGCTCAATCGTTAGAACATAAGTCCGTTCCAGATTGTGTACATCATTACTACCTCACTAAAAAAGCAGAAAATTATAAGCAGCTATTGCGGAAGTCGCGGCAACGAACACGTAGCTCTCGGAATAATCCTAACAATAAAGTAAGTGTTAAGCAAAATATTTAGAAAATTCTCGCGACATAATAGGAAACATTATTATTAATTTTGAGGATTTGAGAGTTATTATTTATGCAATTGTTGCAGGTAAATAATACCAGTTCAAGTATTGGACCTATAGACATTTTAACTACGGGTGTTACGACGAGGCTACAACGTGAGCAACAGCAGAAAACGCAAGAAAATCCTCAGAATAATTCGGTGGCGACAACAACCACTACCACGACAACAACCACAACAACATCGAGCGTACCGACAGTTGTTACGACAACAATAGTGACCACTTCAACGACTCCTTTAAGTTCAACAACGTCGAGTATATCTTTAACATCGACGGAATCTGTAATAACGTCAACGACTGCTACAACGACATCCATACTGAGCACTACGACGGCATGTGTCACGCCGTCGTCAGCAACAACAAATACCAAGGATATTAGGGAACCCAATAAAGAAAATAAAGTGGAACCTAAGATAGAGTTTATCAAAGTGGAGGTGAAGGAGGAGCCGCAATTAAGTTCCGAAGGAGGCAAAGATGTTGACGTAATGTACGTAATATTTTTCTTCTATGAATGTTCCAAATTATATAAATTATAACTATCTGGTAGAACGACGATAAAAAATAGTACACGTTTACTTCCGGAAAGTACTTTTCTTCTTTAGTACGATAGCAGATATTTAAATGATTTTAAAGTACTAGAATACAAAGTCACGAGAGATCATACAAGATGGCGGAGTAGTGCTATTGATTGGTATTAAATAAAAAAATTTTATAGGGTATACACTTTATAAATTTTAAACAATTCGTTAAACGTTCCTAAAATAAACAATTTTTTAGCAAATTGAAGATGGTTTATTTGATAACGTGGGTGTTTGAGAAAATATACACTGTATTATCTGCTTGGCTTGAACTTCTATATTCATTGAGCATTGCTAATAATTTATGGCAACCTAAATAGTTTCATAAGCATCTGTCTGGATCACTGCATCTTTCAAGGTATATGCATGATGTATAACTGTAAAGATTCTTTCCAGTGGTGAAGCTAATTTGTTGGTGATAATCAGTTATAGATTCAATAGATGACGACGTTGTCACTGTTGGCAATGACAGACTTATTATTTCGTTTAACAAGTATTAAGGAGTAAGACCACTGCAAAAATCTGAAATAAAGCGTTTATTTTTTGGATGGAAAAATAAGAAGATAATAATATTCAAGAATGTTATTAACCATGTCGTTAAGTGTCACAAAAAAAACTAGTGCAAAATGGCGACGCTGGAGCCATTCTTGCGAGGCGTGTTGGATTCAACATTCTTGAGTATTATTATCTTCTTATTTTTCCATCCATCCAAAAAAAAAAAAGCTTTATTTCAGGTTTTTACAGTGGTCTTACCCCCCTTAAAACAGGGGCACCGAAAAGTGAGTACTTGGCGAGATATTAATCTAAAAATAAAACGTGTTATTTTCTATTGCGATATAAACATTTTACGCTTGTCAAAGTGATAGGTCCGCCGTGTGAAACGTGAATTAAAAGTACAGTTGCAGCGTGAAACATTTTCGAGATTGCCAGCGAATTTGATGCATCGAAATTGATATGAAAACGTGTAATTTCGATCGAACGAGTTGTGTTTATCTTATGGAGGATGTTCGACGTGTAAACTGATTTCACGAGCCAAGTTCCATGCATTTTGTTCGACATATGTATACAAATCGATTCAGCGACTACATGTACAGTGCATTTGTACAAAATCATGTTATAGAACGAGTCTTTGTAACTTATAAAGAATTATTATAACATTTATAACTTATAACAATATATCTAATATATATATTACTTTATATATTCGATTAATATCATTATGCAGGGTGTTTCTTTTATCACGCATATCCTAATATCTTCGTTACTTTTTCTAGTACGAAAAAAATGTGTCAGGACAAATTTATTTGGTTCAAAGCTAAGATTACCAGTGACTTATCATAAATAAACTTTAATATTTATAAATATTTGAATAAGATTAATACTAATATTATTATATTAATTTTTATATAATGATTTGAACAGATGTTGGGAATAATCTAGAATACTCTAGAACTGAAATTCTTCATTAGATGAACATACAAATGATTAATTACGTAAAAGATAACGTATCTAGGTAGAAACTTAGAATAATTAATGCAAAATTTCTACCAGTTATTATACGGTTGAAGAAACTCGTGCACAACGCTGATTGCAGGCCTAAAATAATAATTTAATTTGAAAATCAAGAATATCAATTTCTGGACTGAGGCTTCGTTAAAAAGTTATTAACAAAATTAAATTAAAAAATTTCAAATCGTTCTGGAAAAATTATATTTAGTTGCGGGGGTCAATTACAATCATTTTTGGTGAATAGACATACCCTCGAATTCCTACCCACTTTCGAGAAAAAAATTCGAAAGTGTGAAATTTTTCGACAAAATTAAAAAATTTCAAATCATTTTGAAAAAATTATTTTCTGTTGCGAGGGTCAATTGCAATCATTTTTGGTCATTAGACATACCCCTGAAATCCTACCCACTTTCGAGAAAAAAATTCGAGAAGGCATGAAATTTTTCGACGGAAAAAAAGTTTCAAATCATTTTGAAAAAATTATTTTCTGTTGCGAGGGTCAGTTGCAATCATTTTTGGTCAATAGACATACCCCTAAAATCCTGCGCGTTTTGGAGAAAAAAATTCGAGAAGGTGTGAAATTTTTCGACGGAAAAAAAGTTTCAAATCATTTTGAAAAAATTATTTTTTGCTGCGAGGGTGAATTGCAATCAGTTTTGGTCATTAGACATATCCCTGAAATCCTGCGGATTTTCGAGAAAAAAATTCGAGAAGGTATGGAATTTTTCGACGGAAAAAAAGCTTCAAATCATTTTGAAAAAATTATTTTCTGTTGCGAGGGTCAATTGCAATCAGTTTTGGTCATTAGACATACCCCCGAAATCCTACTCACTTTCTCGAAAAACATTCAGTATGAACGGAACTTTAAATGTTAATAACTTTTTAACGAAGCCTCCATCAACAAATTAGTATTCTTGATTTTCGTCCTATTTTGGCCTCTAGAATCTGCCATTAAAATTTTTCAACAAATATACCGCGATCAATAAAATTAAATAAAGAGAAATAATATAATATTCATTATTAATTTTCTATCTATGAATTATCGCTTGTTCGATGAAATTTTTAACAATAGAAATTAGTTTCAGTTTCACGAACGATCGCTGTGGTTCTTGAAAAAGAAAATAAATCGTTGGAACGAAGGGAGGGGGTTGGATTGGAAGGGGTAGCATGGGGTGGGCGGTTCGGGGTAGGAAGGAATAGAATGTGGTGGTGAAATTGAGCTTCCAGGGGTAAGGTGGGGCAGTTATTAGCAGATTGTAATGCTAATCAATGGTTACTGGTTAGTGGATTATGTTTACGTAGGCATTCATCATCGAAATTGCGTAGATCGTTGAAAATCTGATTCCAGCCGTATGAAATCCGGGAAGTTGATTCTTCTCGTTCATCTAGAAATTATATGCAGATTAAAAATTATATAAATGTTAACAATTTATGGGGGCAAACAATTTAATTAATCTTTCATTAAAGTTTCCTATTTATTATTGAAGGTTATTTCCATTATTCGTTTCAAAGGGGAAAATTTATTTGTGAAATTCTAATTTTTCTTCAATATTTAACGAATAAAAGTTGTCTATTTTTTATTCGTTCGAAATTTGTATTGTTCTCATTTTTATCGGGCGTTTTTTTCTGTTTAGATTTCTATAATTCATTTCCGGATACGCTTGTTCCAATCTTATAGTTATAGCAAGTCTTTCGTGTTGAAATTTCGAATGGTGGGAGCGTTCTAATCATTATGGAAATGCGTGCAAGCGCTTGGTCGCTATCACTTTAATCACAGAGCGTTAAAAATCTTCGCCACGTAACGCTCTTATCAAAAGAACTATCTGAAACGACAAGGTCGACGTAAGATACTGAGTATTCTATGCAAACAGTCGAATGAACCAAGCCATTTTACTTTAGTTTCTTGGAATAATTACTGCAACTAGTGTTTCTGATTTCTCTATACTTTTCACTTACAAAGAAATGAAAATTGAAATTGAATTACTCAAGAAACGATTTGAAACGTTACTCAAAATTTTAATGGGGGATTTTAGAGACCAAAATAAGACGAAAATCAAGAATATCAATTTGTTGATGGACGCTTCCCTAAAAAGTTATTAACAATTAAATTCAAAAATTTCAAATCGTTCTGGAAAAATTATATTCTGTTGGGGGGTCAATTACAATCATTTTTGGTGATTAGCTATACCCCCGAAATCCTACCAACTTTTGAGAAAAAATTCGAGAAGGTGTGAAATTTTTCGACGGAAAAATTTTTTTCAAATCGTTCTGGAAAAATTATTTTTGGTTGCAATGGTCAATTACAATCATTTTTGGTGATTAGGCATACCCCCGAAATCCTATCGACTTTCGAGAAAAAAATTCGAGAAGTGTGAAATTTTTCGAGAAAATTAAAAAATTTCAAATCATTTTGAAAAAATTATATTCTAGTGCAAGGGTCAATTACAATCATTTTCGGTCATTACAATTACCCCCAAAATCCTACCCACTTTCGAGAAAAAAATTCGAAGGTGTGAAATTTTTCGAGAAAATTAAAAAGTTTCAAATCATTTTGAAAAAATTATATTCTGTTGCGGGGGTCGATTGCGATCATTTTTGGTCAATAGATATACCCCCGAAATCTTACGCGTTTTCGAGAAAAAAATTCGAGAATGTGTGAAATTTTTCGACGAAAAAAAAATTTCAAATCATTTTGAAAAAATTATTTTCTGTTGCGAGGGTTAATTGCAATAATTTTTGGTGATAAGACATACCTCCGAAATCCTGCGCGTTTTCGAGAAAAAAATTTTTTTAATTAACGAATCTAAAATTTGTATTTGTTATTCGTCAATAAAATTTGCCCAATTCTAGCGTCTGTCTTAGGCTTCCATAATTTTCTAAAGCCTGATCAGTGTCGTTTCTTGTAGTTTTACATACGTCTCCTCTTCACATAATTAATACTATTTTCTCTGTTTGTTTGTTATTACAGGATCGACGGGAAGAGCACGTTGTCGTCGTCGTCGTCGTCGTCGTTGAACGCCAACGCGACAAACGCCACGGCGATACAGTCGGATTTCAAAGACTCTAATAAAAAGAAGCCAAGTTGCAGAGAGGCAAATAGTAGCAGCGTCGCTGGCGTCGGAGCTGCGAGCAGAATAAAAGAGAAGAAGAAAGATAATCACGCCACTCCTATGGAAACCAGCGACGAGGAGGCCCAATCGATGGACACCATCGGTAAGTCTCCCAAAAAGATAACTATTTCATGAGTTTGCTTCGTAGAAACCTTCTAGGACAATATTTCTACTCATCGATCGACGAACATTTTGAACACTGATCTCAAAAAGGCTTGTTCTAACAACCACGTATCAGGGATGCACGATTTTCAAACGATTTTCCAAAGAATCGATCCCCTCGATGGTGAATTATTATTGCTTTCCGTTCGTTTCGAATTTCCTGGAATTTTCACGTTTTTTTAATTGGTGTATCGTAAATAATTACTCGAAAGCACACACGGTTATTCGTCCATTGTTAATTACGTTAGAAACGTTCATTTTCGAGAATAGCATTGTGGTTGAGAATTGCAAATTATCTCACCATTTGCAACATTTATTATTTTTCAAGACTTTATGGAAAAGATAAATTTTACTTTCAGAAATAACTCGACTCTATCGTTCGAACGTCCGCCATTTTACTATTAACATCCTAAGTATGTGAGATGACTATAGTTATCGCTAAGTGATTTAGATCGAGCAACCTATTTTTCTTTTGTGCGAAAATCCACGGGGAAAAAATCATCGCGGCGAATGCGTTAACAGTAGATTATATTTCGTTATCAACGCAAACACAACGGGCAACATTAATCCTAATCTAGAACGATACTTTATATTTCCCTCGCAAGAAAGTACGCAGAAAAAACATGTAAACAGTTCGTTCATTGCACTTTAATTATTTTGATTTTACAGTGTCGTAACTTCTTAATTCTAAAATGTTGGTTAAATCGTCGACGTGGTCAGCTAAGATGCAACGACACCATCCCAAGTAACTTCCGGTAGCAATACGTATACGCCCCCTTCGTCTCGATGTAGCGTCCCCCATTGCAAATTCTTGAAACGAGAAAAACACAAGAACAATTAGTTTCTTTCTCACTCGGTAAAATCACACGACATCGTACCTCTATAATAGGATGGAGAGTTTAATCCTCGGATCCTCATTGTCTGTCGTTGGTCGTCGAAGTGGTGGACTCTTGGTCCTCCGTGGGCGTGCCGATCGTCTCGTCCGACTGCTGTCTCTCCTCCATGTTCGCGTGACAGAGCTTTCGATGCTTGTGCACGAAGTAGTAGCTGGGGAACTTGCAGCCGCAGATCTTGCATGGATAGTACTGGACGTTCAGGTCCAGCAACCGCACCTCCCTTCTGCTTCGCGGTATATCCTGACGGGGTCTGACGGCGATCGACTCGTTCGCTCTGGTGGGCAGCAGGTGTCTCTTGGTGTGCTTTCTGTAGCAGTACTGGGACTTGAAGGTGTGCTTGCAGTAGCCGCACGTGTAGCTCTCGGTGGTGGTGTTCGAGTCGATCACGGACTCTGTCGGATCGCGAATCATCCTGACCGTTGGCGGTCGTCCGTTCTCGTCGTTCTCGCTCGACGTGTTCTCCGGTTCGAAGCACGATCTCTGCAGACGCTGCTGCGACGCGGAGTTGGGCCCGCAGGTGGCCACTGACGAGGAATAGTTCTCGTTCAGGACACGGTGGAACTTGACTGGCCCGTCGCAGCAGGCGATATCGTAAACCACAGACAAAACACCGCTGGAAGAGCCCTCGTTGCCGCTCGATCCGCGTCCCCTTCGCCTGGACGATCGAGCTCGATCGTTCTCCGCGATCGACAGCGTCTCTGCGTTCCTGCCGCGATGGCGACGCCCAGCGGTGTCCTCCGTGGGCGACGACGAGGCACGACCTTGCGTCTGTCTGCTGGTGTTCGGATTCTCGCGATCGCGTTCCTCCTTGTACCGTCGTTGCTCCGTCGAGGTGGACTTCTTGCTACGACAGGAAGGCAGCGACGACTGGGACGCCGTGGACGGGCTCGGGGACACCGACTGCGTCGGCGACGATGCCCTGGTCGCGGTCGCTGCGTTCGACGCGGCGAACGCGTTGAACGCCGCCGCCGCCGCCGCCACGAATGGCAACGACGTGGACGACACGTTCTCCGGAGACTTTGCTCTCGCCTCTCTGGTCCCGCGGTTCCGCTCGATTTGGAACATCGTCGGCTTAGGCGATGGCACCTTGCTGTTGGAAACAAACATTGGTAGCGTCGCGACATTTGCACGGAGAGCGCCGGAATAGCAGGATACGCGAACCATTTCTAGGCAAAGAGCTCTACTCACGAGGCATGGACATTGTCATGTACTGTAAATTATTCCGAATTATATGCTAATCTTGTTACCAGCTGCTCCCAACGCTTTCAAGTGTTTCATTTGAAATTTACGTTAACTAAAAGATATTTGAACTTGACAAAATGTCGAATGAGACTCGAGACAGGAGTGCAAAAGGTTAAATGAGACTCGAGCTACCCTACACTAGCAAACGTCGCGTACCCTGTTATTCCGCGCGAAGCAGTGCGAACATTCGAACCTAAATCGCGCGGAGGTTAGCGTTTCTTGTACGCTGGAGGTCGGGGCAACGGTAACGCCGAGCGGAACGGTCGATTGCATCAGGACGGACGGTTGCAATTGAGACAGATGCGGTATACCGATGGATGCGGGTGGCGCGGTCGGTGGATAAAGCGGCGTGGTCGGTGGCCAACACATGCTGGGATCTATTATCAGTCGGTTGGGTATCGGTCTCAGTATGTTCCCGGAGCCTGGCGTGGACGTGAGCGTCGAGGTCGGTCCCACCGGAACTGGTATCGGCGTCGGCAGAGGCGGCGGTGCCCTCAGCCTGAGCAACGCCGCTCTGCACTGCTCCAATGCCCCGGGCATGTGCAACAAATGCGTCGCCAACAACACGCTGTAAACGTTGTCCAGCGTCACTTCTAACCGTCCCGTGTACATGTAATTCAACAGAGGCGCGAAGGCTTCTCCACCTAAAACGAGCGGTCAATTTTGTGTAGGGAACAGTCGGAGGATCATCGCGCGTCTCCTTAACGCTAGAACCACCAAACTTTCGATTTTCGATTTCTAGTTTCTAGTTAGAAGACTAAGAATCACTGCGTTTGAGGATAAGAATTTTTATGCTCGTAGTATCGATGAGAGGACAGGATCAAATACTCTGTTTCTTCTAAATCTTATAATATTGTGTTCAACACGGAGCTAATACATCGACAAAGTATCCAAGATAATGCAAATTCGACTACATGTACGATTTTCGAAAAGTAAAGTAAAATTCATGGGACTTGTTCGGTGCAAACGAGCAATTAAACTGCAGTGATTCTCCTCGTTATGGAATACGAACTTTAAGAAGCGAACGAATCTTCCGGTTGGTCCACGCGAAACACTGCGTTCCCGAACTCTTGCCAGCATCCGTGTCCTCGTTTCCTAATCGGAACTAATTTCGCGTCACTTTCCATTTAGGCGACGTTCGAATACTTAAAATTCGTTTAAAAAAAACCCGGTTCAAGGAACCAACAAAGGCAGAAGACTCGTGTTCACGAAGGTAGAATCGCGCCAAACGAATTCTTGCACCTCTAAGAATAAATCGAGTCTTGGCGACAACCAAAATGGCTGCCTCAAGGAGGGTTTCACCCGGAAGTCCAAGAATCCGCCTGCACCGCTGTTATTCCGTGTCTGTCGGTTCGTAGGTGGGTCGGGTTAACAATGAATATTTACCAATCGATGAGACCGAGACGGACGTGACCGGTTGTCGCGTCGATTGTCCCGAAAGACTCGAGGTCGTGACTGCGATAGCTGTCGCTGGCAGATTCGCAACGTTCGCATTGGCACTGTTAGGCGTTGTTGCGGCACTGGTCAACAAAGCCTTGAGGTAGCCGCTGTGGGCAGCCAGGACTCCTTTGTGAGCGATAAACTGATGCTCCCCCTCGTTCCCGACTCTGACGACCGTGTCTGGCGGCGACAGAGTTTCTTGGAATCGCGTGTAACTGTCACCGATCACACTGTCGCCGAACCAAGCTCTGTATAAACTGTACATCGTACCGATTGCACATTCAACGGTTTAGTTCCAGCCCCCTTTACGATCTTTACGCTCTGTTGAGAGGTAGCTTTGGATCTCAATCTTTCGATCCGACGTTCTCGTTGCGTTTTGGTACCCGCGATAGGCTGTGCTCCCGTGGTATCGCGACCATGGTCGATTCCGCCAAGACGCGTCCGCGGATAACACAAGCGTCGGTGTAACTATCAGGCGCCGCGCTCGGCCGTGATTTGAACGCCGGGAGTCGGTCGCGGCTGTCGTCTCGTTCACCACCACCGTTATCACGACCGAGCTTGTAGATTCGCTTGCTTTTTCCGGCGGTTCTACCGCCCTACGGGTTTCCTACTCCAGACGACGCGTATCAGCCAGTCTCTGTGCGGCTCACTCCAACCCCCGGCCATCGGAGAACCGCCCCCGACGAGTGCAGATTGGCGGCGCTGGCTCAATTACGGCCAGGGCTGCACGTGCGCCTGGTATCCTATCCTCTGCCCTCTTTCTTCGTCTCCATCGAGCACCGATGCATCTCTCCCTCGCTTTTCTTACCTTAACCCGGTTGCAACGGCCTCTCCCCCCTCTCGATGCGTCGAGAGAGAGGGAGAACAACGAGGGAAACGAAAATATGTCGCGATATAAGAAGAACAGAGGGAAATATCATCGACGGTTGTTACGCTCGCGTCAAGTGGGAGATTTGTTTTTTTTTCACCCCCCCCTCCCCTTCGTCCCCCCGTGTTCGAGGGGATGGACGTTGCAGCGAAAACCGATTGTTGTCGATTCGATTAGTTCGGACATATTATTCTGTGTATAGGCTCTTTTTTCACGGTGTTTCGTAATGTTGTCGGACGATTTGTTTTTCTTAGAAGTCTCGAACGGAAGAAAGAAATTATTGATCATGAAAGATCGAGAGTCTCGAATCTCGTAAGCGGGTAAGCGAGTTTTAGGCACAGGTTTGCATCAATAACAAATTTTTTTTTTATAGAGAATCAACCCCTCAATTGGATATAATTAAACGAAACTTGAACATATTGGAACGAAGTATAATTCAACCCTTTAGACTAATAACTGTTTAATATATGTCAATGCAGTTATTTGAAAATTTATGTAATCCTCCGTTAGTTTATTTTTTAAATGCTTTAGAGGAAAGTTGATTTCCATTCAACAATTTGGTACAAATCAAAATTAAATAAAATAGTTCAATTGAGATTGAGAGTTCACTTAAGGGTTGAATAGACGAAGGAGTTTTTAGCGTATCCAACGTACGAAATTATGAAACTTTATGCTGTGAATTTGAAAATAACTGTGTAAATGCAAGGATATAAGAAATTTTGAAAAATAATTAAAATAAAGAAACTATCAGTTTGACAAATATAAAGCAGTATTTTCACCTCACAAAGTATAACATATTTCAAAAGTTGGCACTCTAAAGCGTAGTTTAGTAAATTATTAAATTTAAAATCGTAAATATCCTCATTCTTGTATATTTAAAAGGTTGAGAATTTACCAAGTAACTTTGATTTGCAGAAGTTGAATGTTTAGTTCGACCCCTTTTAAAAAGTAGCTTCAACCCTTTAACTTGAGTTCATGGTGCTAGGAGAGTTTCTTTTATTTTTCGCCACTTTGTAAACTTTAAATTTTGAAAAATAATCAAAATAAAGAAACTACTAGTTTGACAAATATAAAGCAGTATTTTCACCTCACAAAGTATAACATATTTCAAAAGTTGGTACTTTAACGCGTAGTTTAGTAAATTATTAAGCTTAAAATCGTAAATATCCTCATTCTTGTATATTGAAAAGGTTTGAGAATTTGCCAAGTAACTTTAATTTGCAGAAATTGAATGTTTGGTTCGACCCCTTTTAAAAAGTAGCTTCAACCCTTTAACTTGAGTTCATGGTGCTAGGAGAGTTTCTTTTATTTTTAGCCACTTTGTAAACTTGTAAAGTTTCATCAAAATAGGGGAGGGGATGTACCCCATACGAATGGTTCTTATTGGAATCGATGCTTGTCGGAGTAACCCGTCGGTCGATGTCGAAGAGTCAATATACAACAGCGGGGGGTGCACAACTGAATCAACCGTGGTAGTTAAAACTTGGATTTTTACAGAGGAAAATAAAATAATTGAAATGCCACGATATAAAGGAATATTTTTTGGCCAAAGCTATTCGCGAGATATTTCACGTTTAACGAAATTCCTTTTGATCGTCCATTCTTTTTTAAATAGTCTGTTTTCGAAAACATGCTTTCCCTTTTGCACACATTTAAAGATGAATTATTTGCCATACAGGGAAAACGCTTTGCAATCTACGTCACATACTAGAGAATTAAATTTTTTACGTCCGTTTTATATCAATTCGAAAAACGTAAAATATTTTCTTCTATCCTCGGAGATTTGTCCTTGTATTTTTGTTAACAAGTTCATTATTATGGTCGCTGCACTTTATACCAGATTCCATTTTACACGGAATTAATGCGACGGATAAATATTTTTGTTGAACACGTACAAACAAGTGTTTAATGCTCGTGATCGATAAATTATAAAATTTCGAATATTCCTGTCTCGTTAACTGTCTCATCCGGTTCCAATTAAATTTTAATCGCGACAGATCGAAGATTATTTCTAGAAAAGCTCTTCGATTTTACTCCAAGGTATGATAAAGTGTTTCTGGTGGACTCTGGGGGGTAAAGAAGATTTGAAAAATCCCAGGACGAACGATAAGGAAGGGAAATAGAGATCGAGGACGAGGATTTGTTGTGGGCGATTAGAGCAGCCTGGAGGGTCGAAAACTGACTAGATGAGAGGGTCGTGAACGCCTCGAGAACGATCTTTTCGGGATGCGTCTTTTGCTGGTTCCCCTCCGCTCTCTTTCTCCCTCTCTTTTTCTCTGTCTCCCTGCTCTCTGATGTTTTTCATCAAATTAACTCGCGGTACGAGTACTCTTTCTCCGCGGTGTTTGCATAATATCGTTTATAATTCACATTGCGCTGAATTCCACTTTATTCCGCCTCGTGGCCCGTATACGTATAGGTCGCTCGTTTGCTCGCTCTCTTCGCTTTCGACCCTCGGCCACCCTTCTATCAATGAGATATCTTACTCGTTCTCTCTCCCTTCTGCACCCCCTGTTTCTCGCTCTCTCCAGCCGTGGAAATTCTGTGCCAGGCGGGTTCGTTTCTCTTTCCTTGCACGAGGAGAGAACGTTTTCTGAACACGGGGTAGTTTCAGACAACGAACAGGGATGCACGTTGCCGCCAAACGTTTCGAATCACAGCTCGAATTTAGAGAAACTAAAAAAACAGGTACGTCTTTAAACTTGACAGTAAAAGTTAAGGGAAGTTAAGGTCCTCTTTGAATAAATACAAAAATACAGAAGATGTAATTTTAAACTAAAAACAACATTATTTTTATGTAACAGTAAGTCCAGCCCCGGACAGAGCAAAAAAATTAAATATAAAACGTTGGAGACTTTGTCTTTTTGTTTGGTCTCCTTTTTTAAATTCTTCCTCTGTTTTCATTCATTATACATGGGAAAATTCGTTCACCTGCATCGATATATGCAGTCTGCCAGTAGGGGGCAGTGTTTTGTCAGTAATCAGGGGGAACAAGTCTTTTTAAACGAGACATTTATGGGGAAATGCTTGAAAGAATATTTATAAAGGCGTAAATTCATATTTTTTGTGATTTCATATTTTTGATTTCATTTTTAAGTCATCGAAACGGCGAAAATTGAATTTTCTTTAGCAATTTGCGCGGCCACTGATGGATTCCATTTAATTGTACGAATATTATGTTTGGCGGGAATCAGCATTGGTCAGCAAGCATCAATATTTGCCAATTTAAGAAACAGAGTGGGCATTTGGTGATTGGAGAAACGAACGCTTAACGCAAAATAACAAGCGAGAACGACTCGGTGGATTTTTTTTTTAAAATGGTGGGTTCACGTGAATTTTGTCGAAGCTGAAATGGCATAAATGTATTAAATTGCGCGTGCAAACATTTAAACACGTACGTTCTTTTCGAAATCATTCTTTTCAAATTTACTAGGATGATATTTCAAGGTTTGCTGTTATTTAGGCCTTGCTACAAGTTATTGTGACACAAACAAGTTATTTAATTCGGAGATACATTGATTCGTTTAACAATTTAATGGTATTTCAAGTGGCAGAAAAGAAGAATGGTTTGCGAAATTTAAAGATGGCGATTTTAACCTGGAAGATCGCGCTCTGGTAGGCCATGAGTGGTTGTTGACGACCAAATCGAGGTTCAGGACGACCTGATCGGCAATAATCGTAGAATTACCACTTGTGAAGTGGCGGAGTGCCTAAAAGTTTCGAATTGGACCATTCATGCACATTTGGATTGCAATTATCAAGTAGATGCAACTTGGATTCGTTAGCCACCTCTATGTTGGGTGTTTCAACGTGGGATTTGTTGTTTAAACGCCACGAAAACGATCCATTTTTGAAGTGGATGATAACGAGCGACAAGAAGTGGATCTTCTATAGCAATCTTGAGCGTAAATGGTCATGGAGTCATTCGAGTGAGCCTCCAACAGCCACTCCAAAGGCTACCATCCGTGCAATGAAAGTGATGCTCTGTTTTTGGTGAAATTGGAAGGAAATTTTGTACAACAACCAAACTATCAATTCCGAAAAGTGTTGTAGTCACCTGGAGAATTGATCAAAAGCGCCTAGAACTAGTAAAACGCAAAGGTGTGGTCTTCCAAGCAAGATCACCAAGAAGACCACGTGTGTCTTTGGCTACTCGACAAAAGTTGTTGGAGTTTGACTAAAATATCTTACCATATCCTCCATATAGTCCTGACATAGCACCTTCGAACTACCATTTGTTCTGTTCCTTGCAAAGAAAGTGTGAACTCTGTTGCTGGTGGAATTGGAAGGGAATTTTGTACTATAACCAAACTATCAATTCCGAAAAGTGTTGTAGTCACCTGGAGAATTGATCAAAAGCGCCTAGAACTAGTAAAACGCAAAGGTGTGGTCTTCCAACCAAGATGAGCAAGAAGACCACGTGTGTCTTTGGCTACCCAGCAAAAGTTGTTGGAGTTTGACTAAAATATCTTACCATATCCTTCATATAGTCCTGACATAGCACCTTCGAACTACCATTTGTTCTGTTCCTTGCAAAGAAAGTGTGAACTCTGTTGCTGGTGGGATTGGAAGGGAATTGTGTACTACAACCAAACTATCAATTCCGAAAAGTGTTGTAATCACCTGGAGAATTGATCAAAAGCGCCTAGAACTAGTAAAACGCAAAGGTGTGGTCTTCCAACCAAGATGAGCAAGAAGACCACGTGTGTCTTTGGCTACCCAGCAAAAGTTGTTGGAGTTTGACTAAAATATCTTACCATATCCTCCATATAGTCCTGACATAGCACCTTCGAACTACCATTTGTTCTGTTCCTTGCAAAGAAAGTGTGAACTCTGTTGCTGGTGGAATTGGAAGGGAATTTTGTACTACAACCAAACTATCAATTCCGAAAAGTGTTGTAGTCACCTGGAGAATTGATCAAAAGCGCCTAGAACTAGTAAAACGCAAAGGTGTGGTCTTCCAACCAAGATGAGCAAGAAGACCACGTGTGTCTTTGGC